TATTAATTTATGGCTTCTAGTTCAAATCATAAATTAACATTAAGTTGGGGGAATAAACTCCTCCAGGCTAACTTTGGCAGATTACAACCATGTTATGGAACAGCCTCATCTGTTGGGAAATGTATAACCATTTCAAATTGATAGTGTCTTTGGAAGTAGGCCTAGGACTGATTAGTAATTTCACCCAGATGTGTCTTCATGTTTCTCAATTTCAATAAACATTAATGAATATAAATGTGCAATCTGACAGGCAGTTTGGGGATAGTGGGATGGATGTCAGACCCAGAAACTGTTGTTTGGGGATATAGGGACATCATAAAAAGTCAAATGGCTTAGGAGAACCATGTCAGTTAGCTTTCAGTGGGCTAGTAGATCAGAAAATGCTTTGGCAGATTCTTTAGCTAAACAAAGGGCTTCAAGGGATTCTCTGTTTTTGGCTATTTTGTAACTGTAATCTGAAAAGAGTTGGGTTTGGAACCACCTTTAAGGGGAGGTAACACCTCGTGCCTCCTTTTAGGGTGCTTCATGCTTGTACTATTTCTATCTCTATTTAATAAAACTATTCATTAATCAAAAAAAAAAAGAAATCTGACAGGCAGTTTATCTGGATTTTGTCTTAGGAGTATACATGTTAGGTAAACAAGTTCTCATGACCTTAGGTGGTTTACTCTGCATTCAATTTCCCCTATGTTTATGTGAATTCTGTCTTAGGAGTATACATGTTAGGTAAACAAGTTCTCATGACCTTAGGTCATATAGGTTTATATGACCTAAAATTTGTGACTGACATTTTTTTTTATGGATAAAGGAAGATAGTATTACATGAGTATAAATGGCTGTGAATTTTTTGAGAGAGAATAACTGAGTTTCATTAGAAAAAGGCAGTACATGAGGTCATGTACAGCAGGAAAACGAAAAAAAAAAAAAGAAAAATCAAAGGCACACAGTGTTACATAGGAAGAAATCTGTCACTAAACAAATAGTCCCTGCAGGCACCAGATTTGGCTAAAGAATCAGGTAGAGAGTTTAGATTTCTAGGAATCTAATACAGATTTGCATTCAAGAGAACCAGAATATCTCTAGCCTCGTCCAAGTACTGAGCCAGTCTCCAGGGGCCACCTTCCTTCTCTCTTAACCACTTGATAGTGTTTGCCAAGTCTCCTTCAGTGTTTAGGTTCAATATGCCCACATCTCTAGCAATGAGGATGCTTGCGAGAGCAGCTGGAACCTCTGCTTTTATAGAATTAGCAGTTCCAATAGGACCACTGAAAACCCAACAGATAGTGCCATCTCTTCCTCTTATCACTCCAATCCCAGCTTCACCAGGTTCTACAGCACTTCCATCAAATTTAACACCATCAGCCCCTCCATCAACCCCTTCTCTTATACTTAGGCCTCGTAGGAGGGTGAGATGCATGGGGGAGGAGATTAGAAGGTTTATCATATTCCTGTTAAGATCACTAACTGAGATACCTTTAAAAGTTTCAGAGCTGTTTACCCACAAATTACAACTGAGTTATGTGAGAGATCAATTTCTCCTGAGATTTGGCCTTATTGTTAAAGATGCAATTATGTCTCTCATTCCAAACACCCCACCTCACCACATGAACAACAGTGCCGATGTTACCTCTACTGCTTAAGCTTCTACCTTGCCACTGCCAAAGGAACTCCATAATGTTTCTCGGCAGCAGCCCTACTGTAGCCTATAAGATTAAGAAAGTCGTACAAGATTTTTCTTGTTTCCTGACAGAGGAGAAGGTGATCAGCTGATTCCCCATCACAGAAGCATAAAATGCAAGCATGGGGGGGGGATAAAAAGTTTGCCACTGTTCTTCTGGAGAAGGTCATAAGTGTTTATCCTCTTCTGGAAATCTCACCCCCGCCCTTGGATCTGTCTTTTCCAGCGTGGTGCCCTTTTGTTTTCATTTTTGTCTTATAAGGGGCAATCTCACCCACAAAATCCTTTTCTTGAGTGACACTAGACGAACTTGATTTGGTATGTGGCAGATCAAGAACTCCTAATCCGCCACATGTTTGAGAGCTATTGCAACAAGTTGACTCAGTGAGTTGAGCAGGAGACTTATTCATCTTCTCCACTTCAATTGATAGGTAAAGCTAAACATTTCTACCGAGTATTGGAATGCACCACTTGACTTTTCATCTTCACTCTTTTTTTTCGATCAATAAAAGGAAATTTCATTAAGAGCAAGGAAATATTACAGATTATGAGTAGCCTCGGCTACCCCAATAGAATTTAAAAATGTGAACTACCAACTTTGACTTTTCAGCCTTACAACTGAGCCCAGAAACAATGTTCCCTGTTAGCCCCCTGTTTAGCTAGCTGCTCAGCAAATCCATTTGCCACTCTTGGAGTCCACTGAATGTCTGAAATAATAGCTGCATGTCCTTGGATAAGCTTTTAATCTTCTTGATTTCATTTCTGAAAAGCCAGGGGGTTTTTTCATTTTGCTTCAGCCAACTTATAACCACTTTGGAGTGGCCTTCTACAACTAATTTTCTCACTCCCACCTCCATAGCTTTTTGTATCCCAAAGGCCACTGCCTTTAGTTCAGCTGTAGTGGAATCTCCCATTCCAATAGGGCCCGAGTATATCCCTACTACAACCCCCTTGTCATCTTCACTTTTGCAAAATGAAACTCCAAAAATGTTCCTTGTTTTTTGAGTTGACAGTCCCAAGTCCACCACAGAAACTACCAATCAGTTCAAATGCTTCCTTTGCCCAGTGATGAAAGTCTAGGCCTGAATCATCAGCCAACCATCAAAGCTCAGGGTCCAATGATCGATCAGAACCTAGTCAAACCACTTCCCATAAATAGGTAACAATTCCTATCTGACCCAAGTAAAGACTAAGTTCTCTGAAGGAACAAAGCCCACTATTCTATTCTTGTTAATTAGCAGGAGATGTACTATCTCAGAGGTATAAACCTCCCTCCAGTCCAGCTCCTTAGGTTTGGTACAGATAAAAGCAATTTTCCATCTTCCTAATGGCCTTGTGTGATGAACAATCAAGATATGGGCTGAACCTCCAGCCTTCACCACCCTGCTGTTACCTCTCTCCAGCAGTTGCGGAAAAACCTCTGGTAGAGGACTGCCAGGGCAAAGGTTATCGTTGTGGGGGATAAACACACACAAAAGTTGTTCGAAAGTACTCCGACCAGGTTTGTTCATCTCTTCAGGGATACAAATACTTTTCATTCTTCCTGACTTGCACAACAGCTTAAGCGAAAAAATTTTCCCCATCTGTTTTCACATAGTTAAATGTGTAAGACCCTTCCCCTCTTCACACACCTGCAATCTCCTGCTCATCATCCCTGCTTTTTTATCACCTTTTGTAAAAAACTCCCCCATCCAGTTCACATCCTCCCCCTTTAACAGACTCGTCCAAGCACCACTTCCTCTTTCCGTGACCACAAAGTCATCTTCTGAGTTGTTTGAAACTGTTCAAAAGTTTGGGAGCCGATTGCCACCACTTGTCAGATCATCTTTTTCAACTTTGGCTAACTGGCTGTATATGGCAGTAAAAAAGTGGGCTGCTAACTCATTTGCAAATGGGTTAGCCAAGCAAGGGGTGAATAGGGAGTCTATGTTTTGGGCTAATTTTTAACTTTCTTCCATTGTATTCTGTTGGTGGGGAGTTAAGACATTTTACCTCCCCCCTTTGTAATTAAAGTTTCACAAAGCTTCACATCATTAATAAAGTTTTTTGTTGCTGATAAAAAAAAATAGCTGTAGGTAAACCCAGCTGTGATTCCAAGATGGTCCAATAGTTAATTTAGTACTCTTCCATTCCCAGTTGATCATTGATCCCTATGGCCTAATCTCAATAACTAGGTATAGACTGTTCTATGACTAAATAATCTGAGTGTTTTTTTTTTTTTTTTTTGGCTAACCTAAAAGAGATTCACTATGATGAGTCAGCTAATTTGATGACAATAAATGACTATTACCAATCTATAATTTCACTATGGTCACCAATATCATAGCTTACACGACAACCAATGAGCTGTATCTTTTGCAAGCTTACTCAATTTAATTCTACTAAACTAAACCTTTTCTGAACTTCATGTTTTTGCTTACATGAATTCTTAGTCTCTTTTTTACCGTCTGTGTCCATAATTTGTCATATCTCAAGTCTTCATTGTGTAAGGTCAAGTGAACAAACAAGGTGGATTTCATAAGTCATAACTCAAATTACTGATGCGATTTGGAAAAGACCTGCTTAGGCAACAAGGTTAAAAAAATGGTTCTGCAGGTTTATTTAGGTCTGATTGGTTTTTTTAACTTTTCATTGGTGCAGAGCTTTTATCCCTTGTCTAGGACCTCCTTTCCCAGGTGGTGATTGACTACTTCAGAGGTGGCTGATCTGGCCCTTGGCACTTCTGGCATGCCATTAGATAGGCTGGGTTACTGGGTTGTTGGCTTCCAGAGAGAAAACTTCATTCCACTGGTTCTGAAGGTTTTTCAATGAGATAGGCGTATCATTGGGCGCTTTATGTTTTTTTTTTTTTTAGTTTTTTTCAAACCAGTTCAGGGAGTCAGTTTAAGGCCCATCTACCCCCTGAACCAGGTCAGACCCCAAAACACCTACTGTAGGGGCATATCAGGGGGTCACTGATACGATACGCATCGGCTGATACACCCTGATGCGTTATGGATCCTTGTCATGGGCACAGCATTTGTTTCTTTCTTTATTTTTTTAGTTTTGTTTGAATCCCAGAATCTTCTTAGCAGGAAGCTGAAGATCCATGAGTTTCAATGGCCTTCTTAATAAAATTTCAAATACGAGGCTGGTCGATTAATGATCTTGTTGGATTTAGGGTATCACCATTATTTGAATCCTATCTAAGTTGGGTTAACCTCTTAACCTTTGTTGCTAAGTGTGATTTTGTTTGATCCTTTTCTCTTAGACGAGTAAATTTTATCTTTGACTAAAGTTCTAGTGACAAATTAACATGATTAAATTGACTTTCAACATGCAGGCATCAGGTCCTTTTTGTCAAATAGTATGGCCAGCTCAGCATCAGTATCACTTGTTTCTACCATGGGTCCTTGTATTCTTTCGGTAAAAACATTTACTCTTGCTGAACTTGAGAAGGCCACTGAAAAGTTCAGTTCTAAGAAGATTTTGGGTGAAGGAGGCTTTGGACGAGTTTATCATGGCATCATGGAAGATGGAACCGAAGTTGCAGTTAAGTTGCTCATAAGGGATGATCAGAATGGGGACCGTGAGTTTATTTCAGAAGTTGAGATGCTAAGCCGATTGCATCACCGTAATCTTGTCAAACTTATTGGTATATGCATTGAAGAACACATACGCTGCTTGGTATATGAGCTTGTTCACAATGGGAGTTTGGAGTCCCACTTGCATGGTACTTTTTTTGCCATTTCCTTGTATGAATGCTTATTTATCTTGGATACTCAACACAATTCAACTGTTCCTTGTCCAAACTATATGGGGTTGGCTACATCAGTCCTGTTCTGCCATTCTGCTCTTTTCAGTGCCATATCCATTTGTTAAATTATGGGCTGTCAAATCATTTCTTCCTACTTCAGCCCATGTCTTTTTTCCCTTCCCCCAAGTCTTCTAGTCATTGTCTTGTAGTAGGTCACTTCTTACTGGTGCCATTGATGGTTTGTATGCACATGATAAGAGTGACCAGACCATTTTAGTCTATTTTCCCTCATTTTTTATCACCTATTTGGGTTACTGCTACATTTTCACAAATATATTCAATTTTATCCTATTTTTCTAGTTTTCCACTGATTCATCTCAAAATTTGCATCTTTTTCTGTATCATATATGGGCATGTTGTTTTTTGATTGCCCAACACTCTGCCCCATATAACAGTGTTAGTCAGATAGCCGTTGTATAAACTTTTCCTTTTAGCCCATGTGGTATTCTCCTATCACACAATACTCCAGATGCACCCCTCCATTTTGTCTATTTCATTCTAGTTCTTCGGGTGTATTACCTAGGATGTGCTCTTCTAAATGATTGACCAATATGTGATGCTTCAGGTGCTGACAAGAAAAAGGGGGTTCTTGACTGGGATGCTCGAATGAAGATTGCCCTTGGTGCTGCCAGAGGACTGGCATATCTTCATGAGGATTCTAATCCTCGTGTTATCCACCGTGACTTTAAGGCTAGTAATGTTTTGCTGGAAGATGATTTCACCCCCAAGGTGTCAGATTTTGGTCTGGCGAGGGAAGCAACTGAAGGAAGTAATCATATTTCAACCCGGGTCATGGGAACGTTTGGGTAAGTAAGGACTCTTTTTTATATCCACTGGTTGGATTATTAGATATCATATTGTTTTCCAATGTGAAGACATCTTATTATTTAGCTTTTCCTCCTAGTTAAGAAAAGAGTCAAATCTGTGAATCTGCAGGTATGTGGCTCCTGAATATGCAATGACAGGGCATCTACTTGTCAAGAGTGATGTCTACAGTTACGGGGTTGTACTACTGGAGCTTCTGTCTGGAAGGAAGCCTGTAGACATGTCTCAACCTCAGGGACAAGAGAATCTTGTGACTTGGGCAAGACCACTACTTACTAACCAAGAAGGTCTGGAGAAATTGGTGGATCCTTCCTTGGCTGGAAGTTACAACTTTGATGACATGGCAAAGGTGGCAGCCATTGCTTCAATGTGTGTTCACCCAGAGGTCGCTCAGAGGCCATTCATGGGTGAAGTTGTGCAGGCACTGAAGCTCATCTATAATGATATGGATGAAACCTGTGGAGATTGTTGTAGTCAGAAGGAACCATCTGATACTGATTGTGACTTAAAGGGAGACTTTGGCCCTTCAGATAGCAGTTGGTGGAATGCAGGTGGGATTTCCCCACGCTTGACTTACGGTTGTGCTTCTTCATTCATTACAATGGAGTACTGCTCAGGTCCACTTGATGATATAGATAATAACAGACCACATTCAGCGTCAAGCTTTATAGGGGGAGGAGAGGGATCTTTACCAATTAGGCATGCAAACAGATCAGGTCCCCTAAGAACGGTTCGCAGCAAACCCGCCTTTTATAGGTTAAGAGGAAGTATGAGTGAGCATGGGGGCTTTATTCCAAGGCGTGTATGGGGTGATAGGTATTGGGTTTGAGTCTTGTTTCTAATCTAAATTTCAAATGTACAGTCCAAAGGTGCCTGTTCTTTCCAGCTGTGCTTGATTGGTGTGTCCTTGTAGTCATTACTGTAGTTTTCCCCGTTGATGGGTGATGTTTGGTGAGATGGGTGGAGATGGCACAGCTTCTAATTTTGGAACCTTGATTCATTTCTTAATTGCTAGAGATGTAATTTGGAACTCATGTATTATATTCCCCCTGTTGGTTTTCCTTCATATTTCCAGATCATCAACTACTCCTGTGTGAACTCATGACAGAGGGCTCAGCCTCCAGCCTCCAGGTTTGGAGAATAAACATTAAAATAGTTATCTTACTGTCATATGGTGGCCTACTCGTTGTGTACTACTTGGAATTCTTTCCGGGTCAGCTGGAAGTTGGGGCCTGTTGTCATCTGAAGAGGCTGGCCTCCACGTGTCAACTGTCAACCGTTCGATTGTAAATTCGATGCATCTTTTTGGTGGGTCCCGTCAAGTTGCTTATTCTAATCACTCGGTTTCCAAGTTATCTGACATGATGCCATCAATTGTTTTTTCTTTTTTTGAGAATTTTCAAATGCATCCCCCATATTTAGTGTTTTTTTTGGTATTTCCTCCACATTTTTCGATTTTGTATCGACCTCCGTATGTTGTCAAATCAACTGTATGTCTTTATCCATGCCCCTGCCATCAAAAGTAACTGAACGGCTAGTTTAAATCATGAAAATTCCTCTTAGTTCACATGAAATTCATTCACAAGGGAACAAAATTTATTTATTTTAGTTTTTTGTTTAACTAGGCGATATGTATGTGTAGTGTATTAGCACAAGATGATAATTTTCTAACAGGATCGACCACTTTTATTGATCAAAACATATTTTTTTTACATTTCAATTCAAAGGTAGTTTCTTGAATTAAAATGTATTTCATCATCAGCATCCAGATTCCAGATTACTCTCATGAAGTTAATGCATTGATAATCACATATGGTGAAAATAGTAGATCCAAGTAAAAAATACACAAAGTGAAAATGTATTGATAATCACACAAGGTTAGGTCTGCAACTCAAATCCAAATTGGGCATAAAACTCAAATTGAAACTTTAAATTGGTGAATGGTGGCAACCTCAAGTCCAATGAATGACAGAACTTTGGCAAGAAAATCCTGAACGGATCATCTTAGCCACATCTTAGCCAGTTAGCCTTGCTAAGACAAGTTGGGTATAGACAAAGTGTGCAACTCAAATCCAAATTGGGCGTATATATTATCTAAGCCTAAGACAAGTTGGGTTGACCCAACCCAATATGAGGTCTTGCATTGGTTGGGCTTTGGGCCTGAAAACTTGAGCTCCTTAACTTCATTTTATATTGAGGCATCGCATAGCTTGACCTAGTCACCTAGAGGTCCTAGATCAAGCCCAACCCAACTCGAGCTTGTCCAACCTTCTATGATACATTTACCCTATGTGTGCAYATATATGCCAATCTAGTTCGACTATGATGCAAGAAAGACGTTAATAACAGAAAAAATTATACGGCATTATAAAAGTGAACTAATTAGGTGGGTTTTTATTAAGATTCACCGGGGTCTGGGGAGGGGGTGGTTTTTCAGTGTCATGTTTTTCTGGCATTATAGATTTTTCCATTTATGCAATCTATGTATTGTTTATATTATGTATTTAATAGGGCAAATTTCTTTAATTATTTCTACTGTTTAGATAATACTATCCCTTCTAGTTGAAGAGACTAGAAGTGATCAGTTACAAGTTGAAGAATCTAGAAGAGCTAGCAACAGACCATAAAGGACATGGGTTAAAGTAGTGAGAAATGATTCAAAGGGCTATAATCTAACAATGGATATGGTACTGAATAGAACAGAATGATAGAACATGATTCATGTAGCCAAACCCCTATAGTTGGGACAAAGCTTACATCATTGTACTGGTTTGTAAAAATGGATTTTGATGCCATCCTCCTGAGTGAAATGATGAGAGATCCATCATATGGATGGCTGAACCTTGTAGAAAGGTTGGGCGAAATTTAAAAAATTTATCTCTCTCCCATCTGGGAATCGCATTCCCTATTTTAGAAAACTACATTTTCAAGGATCAATCTTGAACTCAAAACCGGACCAGATCTGAAACCAAAGGGGAGGAGAGGGATATACCCGATACGAAGTAGTAGTAACTCCCAATGAAGGTGTTTACGCCCAAGGAGAAGACCAAAACTCACTTCCATTGAAAATGACAGTGTGTGAAGAAGCAGGATTAGCAGGATGGCTCTTCAATAAGAACCAGGAATCTTCAGCAAGAATTGAACAGGGGCTGGTGAGCACGACTTCAGATTGTTTCTTCAACCAAGAAACAATATCAAGAACTTTTATTGATCAGTTCCATAAGAAGAGATCGAACTGGGTAGTGATGACAAGAATATGAGAGAATTCTACAAGTTGTTGTGTTGTTTAACTGAGAAATTTGCCCCCTTATTTATAGCCATCTCAGGATCAGCTTCCTAATCTAAATAGGAGAGACTTCCTTAATTCAAATATGATATTTGGATCTAGACTCTTGAATGGATAAGACTTATCTTATCCTTCAGCTAATCCTAATCATATTATAAATCATATCATGCCCCTTTTTAATTAACTATCTTAAGCCCAGTTCAAATTGGGATTTAGGCCCATTAAACATATGTGCTCACTTACTCCTTAACCTGCTGCCTAGTTGGCTCTCTTTGTATGGCGTAGGACCCAAACATTGATCTATACATCAGCTACATGGGTTCAGCCCAGCCTTTGATATAATGCATGGCCAAATTCACTATAGGAGATAGTGAACCCCTGAGTCCATCACCATGGGCTCTTAATGGGCCCAACAATTACACTAAATGATCATTGGGTCCAACTACCTTATGAAAAACCCAAGCACTGTGGCAGATGTAAGATTAGCCCATCAGGCATTACCCTCAATAGTCTTACACTTAACCTCTCAACCAATAATGATCAAACACTGCCCGACAAGAGAGGATATCTCCCTCGGTTGCAAGGAACAATGCTACACTCTCTAGTCACATGGATCTTGGGAATTAAAACCTTTTGCAAACATTTTGGAACCAATATATATATATATATATATATTGCAAAAAAAATCTCAACGTTTGAAATCAACTATCAGCAGTTTAGGTTTCCATCAGAGAGAGTGCATTCCTCGATCATTCACTTTGTCCGACAAAGGGGCTGATCCTATCACTATGATCACCCACTAGGGCTGTTCATAAGAATGCCCAACCCGACCAAACTGACCAACCCGGACCGATCCAACCCGAGTCGGTCGGGTTTTCATTCGTACTGGTCGGTTTCGGGTTGGGCACATACAAAAACCGATATCTCGGGTCGGTTTCGGTTTTCACATAAGAAAACCGAAACCAACCCGACCCAAACCAAACTAGTCTTTCTTCTACTAGTTTGGTAGTTCCTACTTCCTAGTTTGAGTAGTTTCCTAATTCTTACTAGTCTTCTAGACTTCTACTAGAAATAGAAGGCCCATTAGGCAATTACAATTAGAATTCAATTAATTAGGTGTC